TGATCATTTCATTTCTTCCTGTATCTGCCAATCAGGTGGATCCTTTCCTAGGTCAAGTTCTGAATCCACGAGACTCGTGTATAGTTATTATCCATGCATAGATGTCTTCCTTCCAGAAATGTCCATGAATTTCATCACCTCCGATTCAGCCCCTCTCAAATTTTTGAGAGTTCCGATCGACATGAGTCATTGTTCTGTAATCGCTTCTACTGCACAACTATCCCATTTACTGGTGGCATTTATGTGGAGTTTACTGACGAAATGGGACGTTTCTTCTGACTGGCATGGGGGATTCATCAATGCACCTATCGTTGCCAAGGATGTATATTCTGTTGCATTTCGTTCTGAAAGTTCCACATGTGAGTTTCCAAATATCGACCACAAGTGACTCATAAAAGTGTGTCGGTTCTGTTCAACGAAGCAAAATTAGTTATTTCAACTTTAAAATGATGTAATCGAAGATTCTGTGATCTTTACACACTGCCTAGTTTGGTCATTCAACTGACCTCATCATCATCATCTTTCTTCTCCGTCCTTCAAGTTTGAATTCTTCAGCTCTTCAAGAAACGAAACAGATTCCTGATTGTCTTCAACGTCTTCAACTTTCTACTCGCTCACTCTTTCGTAATTCGAGCGTGTAAAATACTGCTTCTGGCTAGTACTTCACTATTAACTCCTTTTCTAATCACCGTGGTTAGCGGAAGCGAGGAGGCTACAATTCAGAATGGAAGGATTTTAAAGTTTTCGAAAATTATGCTTTGCAGATGAAGCGAGTCCGATTACCGAAAAGCTGAAAGCACATGGCTGAACGGTGGTCGGATTTTCCCATCAAACATAACCAGTGGGATTTTCCGAAATTTATGGAAGACTATATAGAAGAGCACAGAGGATACTTAGAATGCTACAAGAATACAGAAAAACTTAGTTGTTGTTCTTTTTTGTTTTGGAATGAGGAAATGGAGCAGAAAGGATACGGCGGCTAATACTGTTATTTTTCCTTTTCTTTGTTCTTGACAAGATATGGACATGACCTTCGCCTGAGAATGTTCTGCTTCTCAGCTTGAAGGGATGATCCTTCGATGTATATCACTTTGACACTCAAAAACACTTTAGTGACCGTGAGATGAGATGAGCACGCAAGCTGGGAAACACGAACCACTAGTAAAAGAAAATATGGAAGTTCTGGTATTGATCGCATGACTTCATTTTTTTGCTCATGATTTGCTGTTTCGTGGCTTGCTATCGCTTGGCGTTCATCATTTGCTATTGGGCTTTTCGTTTCATTGATTACGATTGTCAGTAATACACCCGTTGGTTGCATGTTCTTCGAACCTGCCTCATGAAATCGCTACTGTTACCATCATTGCTCACTTGCTGCTGTTCTAATCGCCTAAAAATTGTCTATGCATACAAGTTACAGTTGGGTTCCAGTTAATTCGTATGGGTGTTTGCGTTACGTTCTGTGTTGTATGTTTTTATTTGTGTGATTTTTATTTACACTAGCGAATATAGGGTTTTTAAAGTCCTTTTTGACGGCTTAAGGTTTCAAAATTTTCGTTATACTCGATACTCAAGCATGTCGCTTGGGTTCAGATTTCTGCCCGAATTAACGAAACCCTTGATATCATATATTTGAAACTCTCTTTCTGTAACTGTACGGGATCGGCGGCCCAACGAATGTCTCGACCTATGTATAGTAGGTTTATTTCAATTATAAAACAGAATAGTATGGAAGTGATGAGCAGCTTAATGGACGTTGGTGAGCCTGGTAGAAGCGTTGTGTGTTCTGCCGTAATGATCACGAGCGTGCTTACATGCAGAGTTGTGACGAAGAATTTTCTGTGATACAACGCTATTTTGCCGCAGTTCTTCTGGTTCACAAGCAATCATACCATACATGTGAAGGGCCATAGGTGATATGTCGCAACATAGAAGTGTTAGATATCTATTCTTTTTACATTTCACCTCATTTCCCTTTACATAGCGGCGTTAAACAGCATTTGTCGAAGATGTCTTCTTGTCGGTCCACTTAACGTGGTACAATAGTGGCCATTTGTCGGATCCTCTCTCTTAATGGGTTTAGTGAAGGTGTGATGAAAGTTTTGTCGTTGAAATCGATTTGAGAACAAAAGCGGTTGACGGATCATTATAGTACAACACCGGTTTAGTCAGGAAAGTTCTAAGGAAACGTGGAGATAGCACTGTCAACATTGTTTTGTCTTTAGATGATTCCCAGTTTTCGATTCAACTTAATTCTGGCGAATCTGCTTTTCTCAAGTTGATTGGCTTCGTATCAAGCTCTTTATATGTGCGAATTTCGTGAGAACCTTCAAAAACGTTGCGAACTTAGTGGGAACCTTTAAAAACACTTAATGTGCAAACCAGGCAGTTATTACCAAAGTCTAATAAGTCGCGAGGGCCAAAACGATTAAAGAGGTCTATTAAGTATATCTGGTTTAATTGTGGGAATAACTCTTACTGATGAATAATTCTTTCTACTTCTGTTCAGTAAACACGAGGTGTCATTTTATTTCTTCATTAACGTACAAGATGACGTTTCGGCGGATTTCGCCTTCCTCAGAGCCCGGAAAGGTCAAGCTGACTACAATCTACACGGCCAAGTACCTCCATAACCAAATAGGGAAAATGCTGAACCAAAATTTCAATCACATTGAACACAAAGTCTTTGCACATTCACCGCTTTCTATGAGTTTTCCACTAAATATGTCACGTGAAGACCAACCGCACAGAGTTTACACGGAATCGTATTGTGTCCATCTCATAAAAATAACAGGCTTATATAACAATATCACGCGTGATAATGAGGCATTCTTCCCTGCGGTTCATTTTCGGGTTCTTGGAATTAATCCAGAATGCCTCTAGAGTTTTGTGCGCTTGTGTTTTCGATTTTTGCGCGGGGATCGTAACCGGAGAAGATTTTGAAGTAGGGGTTACGCAATGTAAGTCCAAGATTTATCGGTAAATGATTAATGAACCTATGGTTTCATATTACTATCATCACAATCAGGGCACGTGTGGCGCAGTGATCGGAGGTGCCCTGCAACACACGTGGAAGCGATCCCCACGCCCATGGCCCACCAAGCCTTCCATCCCTCCGTGGTTGGCAAATTGGTACCAGACATGTCTGAGAGGATAGCAGAACTGACCCAATACATCGGTAGGTCACCGCGAGTGATTGTGTAGACCAAATATGCATTCAATCACCGCCAACGATACTTAATGAAGTCGAATGCATGGCACATCCCTCCTTGGTCAACGCTGAGAACTTTATCCTTTTTAGCTTTTTTTATCTTTACAATCTACCTAGCTGAGTCCCTCTATAACCAAAACAGAGAAAATACTAAACAAAGATTTCAATCATTTTTTTATCATACGTGATCTCACACAATATCTCAGACTGATGTTTTAATGTAAGAGGGGCACATTACGCTTCCATGTGAACTGTGTGCGGTTGGTCTCCACGTGACGTGCAAGGCTCATAGACAGCGGTGAGTGTGCGAAGAAGCTAAATGCTTCGCTTTAAACGCGATTGAAATTTTGGTTTCGTGATTTTTCTGTTGAGGTTGGGAAGGTGTTTGGCTGAGTAGATTGCAGTCAACTTGACTATTCCAGGCTCTGAAGTAGGCAATATCCGTCGAAACATCAATTGTTGTAAATAAATAATACATAATAAGAATCTCGTCTGAGGTATTAATGAAAATAGCGAGTTATTCATCAACGCTGAGGTTGGTGGAAAAATTGGCAATCGAGATTAGCTCCATCACTTCTAGTCACTCTAGTCATCTCTGCTAGTTATCCACTCGCTCGAGGAAGGCGAACCTTGAGTGTTTTTTATTTCCGCTGCTTTTCGTCACAGTAGTCATGGCTCGCAGAGCTTGGTCTTGGCGCTGGGTCACTCTCTTGTTTATTTCTAGATAGAAATGCCCAGCTCGTTCCCAACTTGGTTACTGAAAGATTAATCGGCATGCCTACAAGTAAACTCAATTTCTGGACCTCATCTCCCCATTAGTATAATACTGCTGAAGAGGATGAAAAGTTTAGAAGAGTACGAAACAAACGAAAACAAAAAGCGGGTGAGCAGGAATTCTGAGAACATTGAAGTTGTTCTCGATTCTTGCATTATTCTAGTAGCAATCCATTGAAGACGAACTAGAGGAGAATTAGATAGTTAAGGAGCACACCGACCATAGTCAACGTTTAAAGACGTTGCTATTTTTGGAAATTCGTGCACAGATGCAGAAGTGAAGGATATTTTTCCGGAATTGCACTATTTTTTTCATTTATTTATGTTTTTTGGAGAAGCGTTTTTATTTTTTCTTGTTATTGACATCTAAATTGATATTACGTCTAATGCTTCATTTTGTACTTCTCGTAATTTTCGGGTAAAGGAATGGGGTGTGTATGATAAGCGAAGTATAAATTAAGGGCTTTTAAAAGGAACTAGAAGTAAAGTGAAGCAACCTTTACACCACTAGCACAGGTGAAGGCTTTCGTCTGCTTTTAAATATATTTTCGACGAGGAATGTTGAGAATCTCATCCTGTTTCGTCCTGTCGGAGACGAACCATCTCCTGCTGTATTTCCACTGTTCGGTGGGCAAGATCACCTCGTCACTATGAGTACGACTGTTAAAAGAGTATTACAACTGCGGGAAGGTAAACAGCTTGTAGACTTGACGGAACTCGGGTTCAGTGGAACCTTTTCCCTCATTTTAGGTCGTTAAATGTTACCAGTTCGTTTTATAAGTACGAGTTCTCCTTTTTTGAATATCTACAAAACATTAGATAGACAAAATTCTAGTTGTTTGCAAACTCTGTTCGCTGTTGTTCAGAGTATCGTAGTCGAAAATGAATGACGTCAAAGGAGTGTCAGTCTCTTGTTTTTATTCTCATGTTACATTGATGCGTGAAACAAATTCGCTTATCGATCCCGATCATTGTCTGTAATTAACTTTCAAATTTTCTAATGTATGTTTCAGGCATGTCGGCAATATGTGAGGAGGATGAATCGGTGGAGAAAATCATATTGCCAGAATCGTATAGCTGCCAATCCTCCAACAATTCACTGTCGAATTCGAGCTTACGAGCGCCCGATGAGGTTGTGCAGGCGTGTGACACTGCTGTAGCGAACGGTCATGCAGAGGCAAATGGCACTTATTTTGATTTGCTTAACAACGAGGAAGAAGAACGGTTACTCAATGACTTGTCACCAGTGCATATGGTCGACAATAGACCGCGGAGTGGAGCTGCGGGGAGTCCAAAGTGAATTTTTAATTGCTACTGAGAATTTTATGGGTGAATTAGTCCGTACTTAAGCACTAGTATATAGTCCGTATTTAATTATTTGCGCTTGCTTTTTAAGTAGCAAAATTTTTTATAGGCGTAGAATTAGGTTAGCTGTGAATGTCAACTAAGGTTTAAAAGTGAATGACATTTACGGGAAACCGGAGGTCCGTTTAAGAATAAACTACGGATGTTCGTACTTTTCATCATTTCCAAAAAGGCTCATGTTGGCAAAATTTAAAGGAGTTGATGAGAACCTCACATCAAACACAACCAAAAAACTTTGTTGTCAATGTTAATTACAATACATGCAACAGATATTCGAATCTGTTTCACGAACATCGGTCACCAGTATACGGGGCAAAACACTAACCAATCCATCTTTTGAATAGTACGGAAGCTTGTGGTTCGTTCACTGCCAATAAGTCGATTGTCTGCCTATAATCATTCGTAATTTAACAGCATTGACTAGATAGAACACATTGATACCAACTGAACAAGTAAGGAATGTACAGACTATTTTCACGAACACCGGTGACCGGTGTTGCTGAATAATTTAAGGTCTCCTTTAAGTTATTATAGTGACAAAAAGTTTAGGAAAATGTACCGGTTGTTATAAATACGTGAACAGTCGTACAAGTTCAATCATGAGTTCATCAGTCAATCATCGCACACAAGACTTTAACCCACTGATTACTGCGCAACTACTGAAAGGCAGTGTAGTAATTAAGTTGTGTGTTACGACTGTATGGCTCGTGTGGCGTAGTGGTCGGAGGCGGCCTGCGATGCACACATAGCATCGATCCCTGCGCCCCTGGCTCACCAAGCCTTCCATCCCTCCTGGGTGGGAAAATTGGTACCAGACTTGTCTGCGAAGATAGCAGCACTGGCTCGATACATCGGTAGGCCACTGCGAGTCATTGTAAAGGTCAGATATGCATTCAGTTACTTCCAAACGATGCTTAATGAAGTCTAATGCAGAGAACATCCTCAAAGGATTGATCAACACCGTGATCTTTATCCTTTGGTACGAGTGCGTGGATTTTAAAATAAAACGAATGCGGCCGGATTTAGAAACAAGCAGCTTCGTTTTATTTGCTCTAACTTCGTCAACAATGATTTTCGAAACTTCCCGAATATGCTGCTAGGCGAGCTTCACGAGCTACTTTCCAATTGCACATTAATCGTCCGTCCCTGCAACTGAAGTCCACTCTGTGGAGAGTTATGTTTGTGTGGCTGACTCCTTATCTCCACATTTGTGCACTAACAGAATGAATTCGCTATCCTATAAACATATGCTGTTTTGTTAATACTGGTTGATTAATGTGTGCTTACATTCTAGAAAACATAAACCTACTCTAGCAACTATTTCGCATCTATGCAACTTTTCTGTGATCTACACGTAGTTGTAAGTTAAGAGATGATTTCACTGAGTTGCACTATTTCGTCGAAGTGCTTCACTACAGCATTAGTTTGGACATGCTTTTTTGAATTTTTGGCACGGATTTTCTTCACCGTTTGGTATAAACAGTATTTTCGAACGATGCTAGCGAAGAAGAGACTGCGTTTGATGCGCTTAAATAGCTGTGTAAAAAATGGAGCTTCAAATCACTCAAACGGAAATTCATTTCGTGAATAACACCTGGTTATTACCTGTTCGTTCTCGAGATTTATCCTCTCGTTCTTGAGTCTTGGTCATAGGTACATCGGTGGTGAATATACCAACGTGCAAGGCCTTGGTTCGACCGCTTCACGGATTTTCCCATCACTCCAGGGTTAGGAATTGCTACCAGACTTGTGCAAGAAGCTCCTTCCGATCGACAAAAATTGATGACTGCTTATTATGAAGATCTGAGAATGTCTTAGCATGGCTACCTTAGGTTTCGACGGAGAATCTACTCTACCAGCATTCAACATTTATATGGAGGACCAACACTCTCCATCAGCAGCCCAAAGAGGGTATGAACCGAATGCATGAAGTACTCGAAGCTGCGTAATATGTGATGTTGACTCACCCAAAATAAAGAATTTAAGCCAAATTGGGTCCTAAACAAGTGCAAATTTTATGACGAGATTACTAGCGGATATGATACAGATATCAAACAATCTATACTCCTCGGTAGAAGTCTTTCAGATCATTCCAATTGAGTACGCGGCATGTGGCCACAGCGCCAAGTTTACGATCCGTCTCATTACCAAAAGGAGGAGCAAGCTATAGCGCCAAATATATTGCACATTCATCGTCTGCAGCTCATGTCTACATGCCGAAGTCTGGGTCTTCCCCGTCAAGGGTGCCTCTTACTTTGAATGAGGTATACTCCTTTTTTTAACCACAATTGCGTTGTTTTTTTAAGAACCGGGAAAGTATTGGGTCTGTATGTATTAGAAGTGTTTTTATCTTATGATGTTGTTTTGCCGTTCACAACTTTGTATGAATACCAAGTAGTTGGAAATATTAGTCTTTGTAGCTACCACGCGGAACTTCTGTGTGTAAGCCACTGCGTCGAACGTTTTGAGACGTGGCAATAATAATAACACAGTAACAGCGAAGCGAGGTATACGAGGCGGATTGGAGGGGCTCTCGTTGGACGAGTTGAACGAACTAATCGAACTAACTGAAGGGCTGTTTATATTTGTTTAATGATGGGCGGAGGGAGGCTAGAATGGGTGAAGATATAGGCTGGTAAAAAACGCGTTGGAAGGTTTCTCAGACACCACAATCTGGTAAGGTGAGATGCACACATAATACTGTAGCCGCGAGCGTTCACATGAGAAAACAAGGTAGCAAATGTTTTTACATTTGGCTTATGAGATCTTCATGGTAAAGTTTACGGAGGACATTGCCCTTAGGAGATGAATAAGCAGTCTGACACATTATGAATGGATAGAGAACATCCCTTATAAAAATTGTTCTCTATGCATTCATACTGTATCAGATCACGCGCAAGAATCTGCGGATGGTAGGGAGGTGTTATAAGGCGGTAGCGACAAGTCAGTCCGTTTGTGCAGTCATTGATGAAACTCCTCGTGAATTGCGGAATGGTGTTTGCATCACGGTACTGGCTTGTCCTGTTGAGTGGAAACGTGGTGTTTGAGTGGAATTGTTTGTGGTTGCTGTTGTGGCTTTGTATGTTCCCGTCTGCGTTGCCGCCTGAAAGCACAGCTTGCGTGGTATTTGTGTGCTGGCATCTGCCTGTGGTGCCTGTGGGGTTTGAATGGCTTTGTCGATCTTATTTGAAGTCCGCAATTTGTTAGTGTTATGGTACAGTTGATTATAATTAAACCTGTGACGTAGTAACGATGTTAGACTGCCACTGCTGATGGTGACGCATGATGCGGCACTGACCGTTAGCGTGACGTTGGTGTATCCGTTCGCCATACTTATGCTGATGTTCCCCGCTTTCGAAACCGTTATGTGGCGGATAGGCCGCAGTGTTGTAGACTAGTATACTAGTGGAAATACGGCATTGTTGTAGAGTAGTGGAATACTATGCGAGCGGTAGAATACAGTGGACCTGACTAGTTGGAGTTGTATGGGAATAATGTGGAAAATTCTTTAGGAGTAGCATATGCTGTGACTATTGGAATACTGTACTTGAGTATAGTATCATCGGTTGAAAATTAGCGTTGAACATAAGACGCAGTTGAGATGACCACATAACGGTGATGGAGAACAAGTGGTTTCAATAATGTCTATTGATTGATTTTCAACTATTTTCCACTTAATTAGATGTTCATGAAGTGTTATTTGTGGAGGGAGACTTACGATTTCGCTCGATGGTGTTGTTTCCATGACTTTGCAGTAATCATCTACATATAATTCGTAAGCAAATTAACCAGGTGGAAAAAGGTGGACTCTTCTTTTGATGCATTTTGCATGTGGAAAATTCGGAGGTTGGTGCAAATTCATCTGGTTGATGTTAATTCCAATCATTGTACAGTGGTAAGCTTCGAAAGCATAGAAGCTAAAAGCTCTTGGCGTTGATCAATCACTGAGCGATACGCTATGCACTCGACTTCACATCGTTTGGAGGGATTGAATGCATATCTGGCCTTTACAATGACTCGCGGTGGCCTACCGATGTATCGAGCCAGTGCTGCTATCCTCCCCAGACAAACCCGGTACTAATTTGCCGGCGCCGGAGGGAGCGATTCCACATGTGTTCTGCAGGGCGCCTCCGACCACTGCGCCCACACACCCTTCCGAAAGCGTAGCGTCTTAAAAATATTACCATGACTACTAAGTGCATAAGAGCAGAGTCGCTTCTATGAAGTTTCTTGGCAGATAGGCCTGTGTTAGGAGTAGTCAGTATCGGTTTTTAACGTCTTTGTTGCTCTGAAGAAACACGCCTGATTGTCAATATCTTCGGGTACCTTTGCTTGTGATGTGCAGATATCTTGTGCTTACGTGTTTGGTTGTTTGTTTTCATTTGTTTTCCGTGAAGGAGACACCTCATATTCGTCTGTCCATTCGTCATGTTCGACGAAAGCAGTTTTGACTGTCACATGTAATTATCAATATTGATCCCGTTTTGCTAGTTCATCTTCGTGTTGTTATATCACTGAAACCTCCTTTTGGTCTTCGTGATGTATATTCATCGGCTTATCGGGTTTCGAATTTTTAATTTTTACTGTATGTAGATGTCCCAAATACGTGGGATGGAGATGTAGCCCCGGTGGATGTACGATATGCCTTTTATCTTGTCTTCTAAGGGCCTACGGTTGATAGTATCCTAATAAGAAAGAATGTTTTACTACGGACTTATTTCTATTCATGTATATTTGAATGTTGTGCTTCTGGACGAGGTCTATATCCTACGGACGGATCGGTGCTGGTTGGTAGGGTTTAGTGATAAGGTTGTGCGTAAATTAGGATTAAGCAAACTGCGTGCGTGGCCATCGCATGCTTTAAGTGGGACTTTCCTTGGTTGTTCAAATGTTGTTTGATTTCTTCCATTGTGGATAACTGAAGTTCTTGTGCGAGTTTCCGTGAACGAATGATAGTTCGACTCCAGTGTCTAACAAGACCGACACTTTGTAGTTGGTTTGTTGTGTGAGTTATTACAGTCACTTCTCCCATGTGTACAAATGTTGACTGCAACGTCTTGCTTGTCCGAATTATGGTTTCTTCATCGGTGGTGTCTTTTTCACTACGTGATTTCTTTTGGACGTGGATGTAGGCATCTTCTGATCCCTTTCCTTACTGTTGGTCTTAAATGGCACTCTTATGGTCTACATTCTTTGAAGGAGATAAAAACGTTTTTTCTTTTGTTTCTAAGTAGAAACAGGATGATGTGTGGTGTCGTTCCTGGCATCTACGGCGTGAAGATCCATTGCATTGGGATGTATTGTGGAACGGGGATGCACATATATGGAATAGCTTATTATTTTTGAGGTACTGTTAGATTTCTTGGGGTGTTTTGTATTTTTTGCAGTTGAAAGGCTTGTGGCTGCCCTTGCGTGATATTAATTCCTCATTAGTTATGACTTCTTCGAGACATTCTAGATGTTGTATATTGAAGAGTTTGTCGGATGCAGTAATCTGATTGTTGAGGATCCTGCGTTGAGTGTCAGCTGGAAATTTTGTTAGTACCTTTTGATACGTGCTATGGTTGTTCACGTTTTCTCCTTTTTGGGTTAGTTCGCTTATAGTTGCTTGCATATCTTCTAATAGAATACGTTGTTCATGCATTTTTGGTGATCGAAGGAAGGTCCCGTCTAGTTTCCTAACTAATTGAGGAATTAGTTCTTCGGATTTGCCGTACTTATTGGTAAGGAATTCGATGGTTTTAGCATAATTTTGCTTATTAAAATGGGACTTCGTTATCGATCGTTGTAGTTCTCCTTTTAGCGAACTCGGCAAGTAATTGAATTTTTGAATCTCGGAGAGATTTTGTGAGTGTATGTTCGAGTCAAAAAACTCCTAGAAGTTATCCCAATTCTATGTGTCACCACTAAATGTCGGAATGGGAATTTTTGGTAGTTCTAGATTGTTGATAATATTAGTGTTGATAGATTCACCGTTTGTAGTGGAGGGTTTGTGTGTTGTGTTGGAATGTTTCTCGTATTTTTCCTGTTCCTAAGCTTTAAAGCCTTTAATTCGAACATGTAGGAGTGTGAGATAGTCGAACGTCTTGCCGATTGCTTCTATAGCATTCGAAAATTGTTTGAGCTCTTGATCTGCGTTGGATAGCGTCGATTGCGCTCTTCCTCCAACTCTTTCTTCCAGCTGCTGTAAGCTCTTGTGAATGGAGATGGGCGTTATTTCATCCTGTTCGTTTTGACTGCTGAGCTCTTCTGACTGCTCATCTTCGAATCGCGTTAAAACCTATTCTAATCGGGTGGTATATCGCGCGAGTGTTAGCTTATGACTTGCCAACGTTAGGCGGGACAATATGATGGGACTTCAGTAGTGACGTTCTGTTTCGTTTTTTGTTTTTGTTTTTCTTTCCATAATGAAGATAACGTAATTGACTGCGGCTCGCTTGATGCAACGATTTGGCCAATGCACCAGTTTGTTGTGGCGTTCACAACTTTGTATGAATACCAAGTAGTTGGTAGTATTAGTTTTTGTAGCTGCCACGCAAGACTTCTGTCTGTAAGTCACTGAGTCGAACGCCTTGAGACACTAGGTTACAACTTTTGTGACTGTAGTAACAATAAAAGTAGCACAGTAACAGCAAAGCGAAGTATAGGAGGCGGATTGGAGGGGCACTGGTTGAGCGAATTGAGAAAGCTGATTGATTGGCTGCTTATATTCGTTTAATGATGGGCAGAGAGAGGCTAGAATGGATGAAGATATAGTTTGATAACAAAAGGTGTTGGAAAGTTTCTCAGATACTACAGTCTGGTAAGGTGAGATGCACACATAATACTGTAGCCGCGAGCGTTCACATGAGATAGCGTTCGTTCAGCATAGTAAATGTTTTTACATTCGGCTTATGAGATCTTCATGGGAAAGTTTACGGAGGACATTGCCCTTAGGAGATGACTAAGCGATCTGATACAGTGTGAATGGACATGGAACATTCCTTGTTTATAAAGAATGTTCCCTATATATATGTGGTTCTCAATGGAAAAACGATTCCAAGTAGATTTTCTTCTCATTCCAATATATAGTTTGGTGTACTAGTTTATGCTATCGCACACTTTCTGTTTTTGAAGATAATTGGGGTTGTTATCTAATGGAGTAAAGTTCATTGCATCCATTGCAGCTGAAGAAGCCTAAGAAAGAGGTATCAGAATACTACAAGAAACAAAATGAATTGTTAGAGAACTTCAAGCAGGACAGTCAGCAAATCCAGGTTAGTCGATGTAGGCTGTGGTGTTCTTGTGTAACTGTCTTCATCTCACTATCCTTTCCTTTTCCTTTCATCTTTATTTGTAGATATTTTTAGGTGTTTCAACGTGCACGTACGCGACAACGGTTGCAACCATCGACAAGCACGGGTGCCGAAGGTGTGAAAGAAGAATTTCATCAAACAGGACAAACTGGAATATGTAGAGAACCAAGAGTAGATACCAAACCTTCTTCAGTAGAGGATACGACGGCGCCACTATTACAAAACAAAGTTTGTTGCTATTTCGCCGTGCTTCCTGATCACCGTTAAAATCGAGTATTCTTAGTACTACTTTTCTTATTCGCTGGTAAATTTTTCGCTTGTTAGTTCAAGTCCTTCGACCCAGTGTAGCGTATTCCTGTTTTTTTTTTCCAGATACTATTGATCAGAATCAAACGACGCAGTGCTTTTTGCTTTCAACTATTGTTGGCTGTTTAACCTTGAAGGGATTTTAGGATGGTGATGTGGACGTTGAGCGTAGTGAGAAGCGGCATCAGGTCGATCGTCCAAGTAGCAGCAAGGTAAAAATACAAGAACGAAAACCATCAGACGCTTCAGACGTCTCAGTTTTGTAAGTAGCCTTTCTTGTGTTTTCTGTTTTTTCCTTTTACTTTTGTTGACCATTTAAAGAAAAGAAAAGGTTAATTGAATGCTACTCCTTTGATAACTGTGTAACGTGGTATGCCATTTGCTGGGGACTCAGATTTAGCAGGAATTGGACAGTATGTTAATGATAAAGAATAAGGAAAAGGGAAAGAAGATGGTAAGTTTTTAGAGAGATAAAGCGAATAAATTAAGTGAAGAGAAAGGTAAATGGAAATGAGAGGGTCGGTGGAGATATAAGGCAACAAACCGGCGCAAGTTCATCGAAGAAATGGAGAAGTGGGAAAAGTAGGAGAAAGACAACGTGTTTGTCGAATTGTTTTCGCTTTATAACATGTACGATACACGATTTGATTTTGGGCTCTTGTACAAATCTATAGTGCTTTCGTCTAAAAAAATGGTTTGCGATGAGATCTTGCTTTGAGCTACGCCTGGTTTCGGTCATGTATTCAGCTCTATCAGCATTATATTTCTTGCCTACACCAATGTTCTTTGTCCGGAAAAGATTTGATATTTAGATAATGGTTTGTAAAAGGATAAAGGATAAAGCTCTCGGCGTTGATCAATCCCTGAGCGATGCGCTATTCATTCGGTTTCATTAAGCATCGTTTGAGTTGATTAAATGCATATCTGGCCTTTGCAATGACTCACGGTAGCCTACCGATGTATCGAGCCAGTGCTGCTATCTTCCCAGACAAGTCTGCTACCAATTTGCCTACTCCGGAGAGATGGAATGATTAGTGGGGCATCGGCGCGAGGATCGATCCCATGTCTGTTACAGGGTGCCTCCGACCACTGAGCCACACGCGTCTTTTGATGGTTTGTACAATTACCACTGCGCCATACCCGTTTTTTGAATGATTTGTATAATGAGAAATATTTTACCCATCTCCGTTCCCATACATTAGTGCTAGTCGGTCTAGTGATAAGTGACTAGTGTTTTAGGGCAAAACATGAGGCTGCATTGGATGCTGTTAAAGCAACGTCAAAGGCAGCTGCGAGTTTAGCACACGCCACTTTACTGGTGAATCTATCGCTGATGATTGCAAAAGTTAGTTTTTGTTTTTGTCTTTAGTTCTATCATTCATTAATGGTGTCCTTATCTTTTTCAAACCTCTTGACAACTGGGTTTTTTCATCTAATCTTTCAACTTTTCGTGATTTAGAGTATAGTTACCAAAACCTTTGATTATTGCATTTAGGCTGTTGCTTCATATTTATCCGGATCCATGTCAATTTTGTCATCTTTGGTGGACTCATGCGTTGACATAACATCAGGACTGGTCATTTCAATCTCAACTCGAATGATTAAGAAGCGAGATCCCTACCTCTACCCGAGAGGACGGACGAGACTTGAGCCGCTATCGTTGGTTAGCATATGTTCTTAATTCTGTACTTATCGTTTTAGAAGATCGTTGGACTATAAATCCCGTTGATATCAAAATTTGTCGTAAATTGAGTTGATCCATTTCTTGGAAAAATATCACTAAAAAATCGGAGAACGTGGAAGAAAACATTTGAAATCTATTTTATTCGTTTCCTTACAGAATTTCCTTCTAGACGTATTTTTCTTTATTTTTTCTAAATGTCTGCATGTTAGTGCAATGATCAACTGCGATGGATACATTTGTTTTGAGATTAAAGAATAAAAAAGGATAAAGCTCTCGACGTTGATCAATCCCTGAGGGATGTGCCTTGTATTCGACTTCATTAAGCATCGTTGGGGGTGACTGAATGTATCTGGCCTTTACAATGACCTACGGTGGCCTACCGATGTATTGAGCCAGTGCTGGTATCCTCCCAGACAAGTCTTGTGCCAATTTTCCGACACCGGAAGATGGAAGGCTTGGTGGGCCATGAGCACTGGGATCGATTCCACGTGTGTGTTGCAGGGTGCCTCCGACCACTGCGCCACACGCTCGTTGTTTTGAAATTAATATTTTTTTATTCTTATAAAATGTATTATCAACTAAGACTAAGTTCTGAAGCCTAACAAAGTTTAATGTCGAGTGTTTTTTTTGGTTATTGATGTAAGAAAAATTTTAGATCATCATAAGCGTTGTGATGGGTGTCGCTAGTGTGCAATTGATCTTCGGGGCGATAAGCAGAATAGCAGCTGCCTATCAATATCACGCATATGGTGAATGGTTTATACATTTTTGCTATGAAATGAATAGTAAAGAGATTAGCAGTTACTATCAGAGTTCGAGAAAAACGGATTCTTACGGTGATTACTTTCGTCTTTACCATTGCCTCATTCAATCACGGTTGTTACAGGTGTTGGAGAAGAACCTGTGTTGGATGTATCGCTTGTGACAGTGTCAATCATGGTTACCACCGTTGCTGTAAAATTTATTCTGTTCTGCATATGTCAGAAGTAAGTTTTTTCTTTCTTAACTGAGCGTTCTTTTCCAAACATGGCACAGAGGTAGAGTGCATGGTAATGTGTCTTATTTTAAGGTATAAATCGGATCCGTCTATAAAAGTTCTTGCTATGGACCATCGAAATGACTGTTTGTCAAATACAGTGGCACTTGCTTGTGCGTGGTTAGGAAAATTGTAAGTTACCTTAGCAATAATGTTTTCAATTGGTACATCTATTTGTGCAATTAATACCAAATTAGTTGTGGTGAATATAAAATAATATAGCCATAACGATGCTGAGATATTTGCAAAACTCCAAACCGCTGATGTCTGCGGTGGGGACCGAACACTCTATTACACTTTCCGGGGGCTAACGCGTTTACCACCGCACTATGCGAGTCCTTCGTTTCGCCTTTCTGTCAGTTGTGTTCGGCAATCACTCGTCGACGAGATTGATCTGGGGGCATAAATCGGCATTGAACCCATGTAAGCTGAAACTGTGGTATAAATCGCAGTGAAAAGTGACGACATTACAGTAATATAATAAAGTCCTTCCCAACGGTTCACCGCCTCATTGTGGCTGGGAGGTGTTCCTGGGCGCAGGGCTGCAATGTACTATGCTGAGAAGAACTCCGGCGTTTCCATCAGGAAGCTTAATTAAGAGTAAACCAATACCAGGATTTACCACCGTCCTGATATCAAATTAGTCGCATGGTGGCAAATCTCGCTCTGATTCACAAGGGTTGCGACTGCCTGTGGTAGTGAAGACATTGATGGAATCTTGTGGGGCAGATTTTGGCCAGGCTGACCTCGGGATTCCAGGGAACCACAACGGCTTAAACAGCAAATCTCCGAAAAAAATAAAGATTATGCTGTGGCTCGCACAACCAGTGAGCACGGGTCATTCGAGTACTTAAGTATAATAAAGCAATTCGATAAGTAATGATAACTTTTGCGACTTACATTCAGCATGTGTTGCTCGGTCTCGAGTTTTATTTTAATTCAAATATGCACGTTGATAGTTAACGCATTCTTGGCAGCGTGACACAAAATTGTAAATTCCATTTTAAAAGAATTGATGGCTTAGAATGGATGGAATCTTGTAAGGTATTTGTTAAAAATTGCTGATTACCAGATATCTAGTTCTTAATGAAGTGGCCTAAGTGTTCAAGATGTTTTTTTAGTGGTAAGTTGTACGCCGGTATAAAATCGTTACGATTGAACAGCGCTGTTTTTATTTGTCTACTTTTTGCATCGAAATCCATTTAAATCACAAAATAAGCTGCTGCACCCTCTTTCGATGTTACACTTACGATTTCAACTGTTTCCGTCACTATTTGACCAATTTTGAAGCAGAATCATGCAAAGAAATGTGAAGAGGTGGTACTGAATATACTCAGAAGAAAGGGTCCCTAGTAAACACAGTTTCAAAGAAGTTGCAGTGAGTGGATCTGAATTGCTTAACTTATATTACTAATTTCAAGATGGTAAACAAGATATTTAACCGTCTCGTTTTAATAAGACTTGGCTCTTTTGTAACAAGTAGTGAAAATCGTTGTTACATTTCGATTAAGTCGATCTTTTTCTCCTTTTTTGGTGGGTTCAATGGGAAATGATTAGTTTTCTTACGACCTGCCACGTTTGACTTCTCTTGTCTTTGCATTAAGAACTTCAAATTTGTTTTATTAACGACATTTGGAGGTAAACAACTGTATAAGGAGAAGGCTACTATGTTCTACTACAAGAAAAAAAAATAGATATAAACTAGCAAGGTGTATAAAGAGCGCATTACTCTGTGAGAATGCCGTCATTATATCCGAAGTCATCCGAAGTGACTGGAGGAATTTTTGAAGCAGAGAACGTAGAAATTAGAAATAAGAGGTTCTAGAGTCTTTCGCTTTTGGTTCAAAGAAATACAGCGAATGCGAAGAAATGAATGAGATAAACGGTATACAAGAATCATTGAGGAGATAGTGCTACAGGTGAAAATGTAAATATAGGTGGAAAATACTCTTTATTAGAAAGACCATAGTTTCTATACCTTTGGCATTTTCGGTTTATTGGACAATCGCATTTTTATCAATGATTTTCAATATACAATTCTTTTAGATCTATTCTTAGTGGTTTTACACTTAGGTGTATAGGTATATTATAGGTATTGGTACTATTTGGATCCAATAGGGGGAATATTGGTGTCGCTATACATTCTCTATACGTGGGTGAACACCGGTTGGGAACATTTATCAAAGCTTAGCGGCAAATCGGCCAAGCCGGAGTTTATCAATCGCATCATCAAGGTGCAGTTTTCAATTCGGACATGGTTTCCATCCGTTACTTTCTCCATTTTCCAAATTACGGTTTTTTTTCTACATCTTTAAAACAACAGTTTCGAAATGTAATACAAAGAGTTTGTCTGTGTATGGTTTCGTTTTAGGTGTGCATAGATCACGATCCACGAATTTCGCATCTAGATACGGTCTATGTATATCATTTTGGCACAAAATTTTTGGTAGAAGTGAGTTCTGTTTTCTTTTTCTACTATTTTGTTCTGTTATATTTGATTTGTATCTACTTTTTATTCGTGTTTAATTTGTTTCGTATTCAGGTTCATATAGTGTTAGATGAGGACATGCCACTGAAAGTTGCACATGATATAAGCGAGACTTTACAAATTAACATCGAGAGTTTGCCCGAGGTACGCATCATTTACATTGATTGGTTTAAATGACACATATTCACAAATCTTGCCACTCTTAGTACACTTAAATATTTCTCTTTTCTTGTTTCTCCTCTTCGGTGGAGACGGTCACCTTCGCATCGACTACGATGGAAAGGATTGGGTATGTTAAAATTTCCGGATGTAGCGGCTTCACTTCATCTACAAAGACATCCATATATGTTTATTTAGTTAACGCGTCATGGCATCTACTGTGTGGGTCCCAGAACTTCTTGCATTCGACTCGTTTTTCTCGCATTCATAGTCTACAAAGGTCTTCGATGAATTTTTTTTATGGTTGTCGGAGAATCCTGGCCAACTCGATTTTCCTTGAAATCTTGAAGATAGGCTAGGTATGACGTTTCCACGTGCACTGGAAGGGAGCTTTAGGGAGGCGCTGAACTAAGGCCTTGCATCCTGATGTTCTCCATTATCGCAACTTCTATTTTTGTCTTTCCTACACGACCTTCAATCTTCGGGATGATGAGGACCGCGCGTGGAGCAAACCGCTAGCTGTGTACTACACTGGTGAGTCTCAGCGCATTCTTTCAAAGTTCAAACGTAGTCTCGTGGTTGTATTTCGCTTAGTACCCTGCCGCGGAATTATAGTAGGCAGAAAATAAAAAGGTATAACATTGTGATTTCAAACGTAGTTTTCGATTTTTGAGGCTAATATTTGGAAGATTTTCTTACAGTATTCTGTGTGTAATGCCCACTTTTTCTTTGCGTCGTTAAGTTTTTTGAGGCCAAGCTTTGTGATCCACTAGTGTTCTTCGAGAATGTTACGGTCCTTGTCATATCGAAGTCTCACTTAAAAGAGGTATTCGATTCACTGAAGTATACTTATTCTCTCACAGTTGTATTCTTCGCTTTAGCACGTCTGTACAATGGTCTTGCGAAAACTTGTTGCAGATTTGTCGTATTTAAGTATTACCCTTGGTGCCTTCTATAAACCAAGATCTTTGGTCAGCCATCTCGTCTTTCTAGTGTTGAGATTTTTGCATGATACCGTTTCCAACGTTTCAGCAAAGTCCGCGCATTGGTTTTTAAGCTTCCGACCGCGGGATGCTCGTAACCTAACGAGGTTACGAAAATATCGAAAGGAGTGGTCTATCTGCTCATAAATGAGATTATGTTATGGAAATTAAAAATTTCTGGAAGATTCTATAGCATTGCTGCAAGATGAATCCTCTGTTTATGGCCGCAATTCGATTACGACCCAGTTTAGAGACATTATGGTAATTGTGGTATGTTGGATCGCAAAGAACAAAGAAATTTGTTCCAGCATATGCGACTTTCTAAACGAATCCTGATCATCGATATTGGTTTACTTAAAACTATAAAACTATTAAAATGTTGGTTATTTAGATTGAAAGGGCGTTTGTTCATACTGATTACGAGTACGAGCATCAACCTCAGGATGAGCATAAAATTGTTTAAGATTCGAAAAGTTTCTGGATTTTGTGGAAACTTCGCACACGTGTTTTTCTAGGTTATTCTTCAGGAGTTTAGTTTGTTTGGTAGTTTTTAGTCCACATTTGGTCAAATTGATTTTACATTACACTTTCACTATACACTTGAGGAGAATTCTGGTCTAATCACGCTATTAGTATTTCGTACATAATTACTGAATAACTTACATAATAATTATTCTTCATAGTGGCAGTCGTTTTTCTTGATTTGTTTCGTTGTTGTTCTCTAGTACTTCACATAGTAATTTACTCCTTCATCTCACACCCTGGATGCTAGAAATTTCTTCAGGATTTGTAGGTGAAAGACGTTTGTTGGTTGGATTACTTAAGTCTGAGCTTCTTTTATCCGAGATGTTTTTCTGTTCACCATCGTCCCCTAGTAGTATGGGAAGGCGATCAACATCATTCTGTGGACGCTTTACGAATTCAAAATAGGATTCAATTTTATCTAGGGATAGCTATGAACAAATGATGCGGGTATAGTAATTCATGTGTTCAATGTTTAATACGGCCATTGTACATTTCATAGCATAATTTCTTTGGAACTTTAACTTTAACATTAAACGTGTTCGATCGAAGCCCCTACTTAATCCGAGGTGATAATAATCCTATGGTAAATGTTTATATGTTTTTGTGAGAAGTCATCATTGTAAATAAATTGTATGTGTTATGACTCGTTATGAAGATTTAATGACGTCAGAGTTTGATCCAATGGATAGGAGTGACAGGAAAGGAAATGATGAACGAAGGTACACTGCATATTTTTTCGCTGTATAATTAATGACTAACTCGCCATGATGTAGGATTTTTGCATATTTTTATTAAAGATATGACGGCTAGTACTTTGTTGTTTAAGAATGAGCGAAGTTTTATTCATTCCGAAATGTTCCTCAAAAACTCGTTCTTTGCTGAGGATATTCAACGCTGGACGTGGAAGCGTTAGAAGTGGAATGACCTCGTAATGAGATTACGGTGATGATGAGTTGAGCAGAAATCAGAAACAGCAATGCCAAAATAAAGCCATAGAGAAGTACAACACTGAAGAAAATATTCTGGTTTTCGCAAACCATAAAAATGCACCAAAAGAACTCTTAAATACTCGAAGCCCACTAATACAATGTGGGGTAGTGCAGTGGCAGTTATGCCCTCCATGACGAGCACGGTTCTGGTTCGACTCCTTGGCGGATTCGCTAGGCCTATCTTCCCTGAGAGGTGGGAGTATTGGTAACAGACTTAACTGGGATCAGCTTTTTCCTTCAAATCCATGTAAATACGCCACAGGAAGGCTAACCGAGGATTCTAGGGAGAATCGACTCTACCACTATTAAAGGACGTTCATGACGAAGAGGAAAGTCTTCAGGCAGCAGTTGATGCCACCCGCAAGAAGTGCGAAGAGCTTTGTAGAATCAGTGATTTGAAGAAATCAGTCGAACTCAAGAAGTATCGGGATCCCCACAATATGATAAAGTGGGTTATGTAAGAAAAATTTTGTTAGTGGTGGCTTTACGCCATTATAAGACACCACCTTGCTTTGTGGTTGCTACGTAAACAGGATGAAAGATTACTCAGCGTTATATATCGTGAAGTCGAAAAGACGACACTAGGAGTATCCCGTATTGGGCAAGTGAGAGAGTCGATCCGAAGCTCCAACCTTCGTCACTGATCAAAAATCAAGGACACTGTTTACAATAGTTCCCAGGATCGACTTTCTGTTAACCTTGGCATTGGAACATGAATACTGTTTACAATGCCAAATTTTCAAGGGTAAATAAGATGGGTCGGTCACAATGCGTATGAACGACAACCAATGGACAAATACCGTTAAAGACTGGTTTCGGAATGTCAAACGTACTGCAGGAAGCCCACTGACCCCGTGGTCAGAGTTCCTCCCAAAAGCCCTAGAAGGGAGATATGATGTTCAACGAATCCCTAGAGTGAGTAGAACTCATTGAGCAACTCTTGCACTCCACTCGACAGGGAAAAGTGGAAAGTTTACTGGCACCTGCTCGAGTCACTCAACGATCAACGGGACGACACGTGTTGCAGGTGATACAGATGCTAGGAAGATCACATGGAATTTTTTGCGACCAGCGGCCTCGAGGACAGCGTAAAGGTCGGCGTCCGAACAGACTTTTCTATTGTTGTAGGTCCACAGCAAGAAGGACTCTTCATGGCGTGTCTTGGGCGTGTTCGTTTGGTCACGTTCTAATGGCGATATGTGCAACCCAGGATTAAAAGCCTCTGATTCTGATTGATTCTGACAATTCTGACAGTTTTGATCCTAGTTGCTAACCAATCATTTAATGCGCTTAATCTTGAAAGAAACCGCTGAGGTGGTCCATAGTCGCCGTTTACAAATTGTTGGTAGGAAGGTAATGGCTAAAATGTCCAGTGATGATCAATCTCTTAAAAATGCGTTATGCATTCAACACACTCATGACATCGTAGAGCTGATTCGATGCATATTTGGCCTATACGAAAGCTTATGAGAGCTATTGTTATTGTTGTTATATTGTTATATTGACTCAGTATTTTTTGACCTCTCAGACAAGTGTTTGACCACCTCACGAGATGGGTGTATTACATGGCACGTCTAACCACTGCACTATACGCCCTTGCGAGTCCTTCATTTTTCTTTATTCCTCAATTTGTCCTAAAAATCGACTACATAGTGGAACACTACCATAGTGCGGCAAGGTAAAAGGTGGAGAAAAAGGAAAAGGCGCTGAAATTTCTAGACGATTTGTTTCTGTTTGCTGAAACAGTTCAAAACTCCCGGGGGGCCCACTATTTTGTTTCAAATACTAAGGTAAATATTTTAATTTGTAAAATAATGAGTTACTTGACTAAAACCAACTTGACTTGTGCGACCGGATAGGTGCTCTTGTCAATAGAAAGCACTCGTGAGTTAACGAATACTGCAGTTAGGCGAGAAGGCGTTAGAAGTTGGCTCAGGGCCAGTACACAAATTCTGCAACGCTTTGTATAATTCGCCTTCTATCACAGTAGATCGTCTTTATATTTTGGAACATTTTGAAATTTGAAGAAAACCAAGCCATGAAGAAAACCAAACTGTGGGGCTTTGTTCCATACTTTGAAACTAATGAGTTTTATAAACCTTTTATTGTGAATTTCTGTACTAAAGAAAAAACTGGAAAGTGTTGGCTTGATCATGGAATGTCTAAAGTGCGTAATGAAGTTTGTAAGCATACATATATGTACATATATGTATATACACATGTATATGTCTACATACCTCTCAACGGTCTAACGCCTCAGCCATGGCTGGGAGGTGCTCCTGCATGTCGGGCTGCGATGTACCGCGGCGGATTCATCGCCCAGGCAGGCAGGACCTCCTAAGCTGAGAATGAGTCTGGAATTTCCATCAGGAAGTCTAGCCCAGAGTAAACCAATACCGGGATCCACCACCGTCCTGGTATCAAAGTCGCATGGTGGCAAATCTCGCTCTGATCCACAAAGGCGACGACTGCCTGTGGTGGTGGCGACCTGGAGCAGACTTTGGCTAGACTGACCTCGGAACTAGAGGGAGCCACAATGGCTAAACCAGCAAAGCTACTGTCTCAGAACCCTGCACACTGATTGCTCTCGCATACGATGTCGGGAGGTGAGACAATCTGTAAGAGGCGATCAAAACTGGTTACACAGGAGGTCATTGGGAACGGACAAAACAAATCTGCCATCGACACGCTATGGAGACTGCTTCTTGCTGTACACATAAAATGCCAGAGCAGTCTTTTTAGATGAAAACCTTTACGATCTTCTTCAAGGCGCTATTAGCATTGATTTCCATGTGATCGCCCTACAAAAGAAGAAAACCAAGGCGATCGACATACGAAAATTAAGTGACAGAACCGTTGTCGTTTGTGGGAGCAAATTTCCGTTGTGAAATATTGGAGACGTTGGATTTGTCGTACGCTTAACTATTTCCCATGTTGTCACCTCATTCGGAATTCTATCACCGCGTTTGGTCATTCTCCTACTACCATTCTACAGCTGATGAGAACGAACTGGAAGCGTTTTAGAACCAGTTTGAGAAGGTAGTCCACAACAAGAAGTCCTATAAATTCTTTGTAGGAGACATAAATTCCATATTAGGAATGGGCAACGAAAATGAGTAGAGGAAAAGGAAATTTGAGATAGGGAGAACAAAGTGAGAATGGAAGCCGTCTTCAAGGACTTTTGCAAGACGCGTCTTCCACTGGTATGTATTTTTCAAAGAGAGAGAAAATGTACAAGATGATGAAGATGAACAGAGGAGTCTCCTGACGGCGCGAATCATAGAGAGGTCGATCACATTCTCACGAACAGAAAATGGTGTGTCCTTGCCACTTCGGTGGTACCTAAATTCTGCTTAGGACCTGATCACCACCTCTGCGCGAGGATTCGATTCAGCCATAACCTGGTAAAGAACTCCTGTCGTCTTCTATGAAAAACGAAATAAGTGGTGTATGACGAGAATATTCGCAAAAAATCCTCTCATGTCACTAGCACAACGTGTATATATAAGGGGCGCGTGTGGCGCAATAGTTGGAGGCGCCACTGCGACACGCACGTGGAATCAATCCCCGAACCCATGGCCCACTAAGCTTTCCATCCATCCAGAGTCAGAAAATTAGTACCAGACTTGTCTAGGAAGGTAGCAACACTGGCTCGATACGTCGGTAGGCCACCGCGAGTCATTATAAGGCCGGATATGCATTCAATCACCTCCAAACCATGTTTGATGAAGTGGAATGCATCGCGCGTCCCTCAGGGATTGATCAACGCCGAGAGCTTTTTTGTCCTTTATATATATACATATATACAATACAATAACACCAACAGTAAGAAAATCATTAATAAGATGTTCGAGCATTCTGGCGAAGATCCTAGAAGAAAATGTTGTGCCTATGGAGTAGTCCAAAAATTCATAGTGCAGAAGACCACTCCCATACCAGTGAAGGCTTTACTGCTGGCGGAATGTGTTGGTCAAGCATCAATGGAAGTGCAGGTAATACAGTTACTAGACCGACTTTCAGTTAACCTTGGCGTGAGTAATCAACATATGTTTCTGAATTTTTCAGCTTTTTTCAGCTTACACGAAACGGTTGTGTAAATTCCATTCGGCTAAGGTTTGAACGTCTTCGTCTTGAGCCGATGATCACAGTCGATGTCCACAAGCCTTCCTCTTTTTGATGTAGTGTCTTCGTAGTCGTATCGAATCGAATCTGCTTCAGTGGAGCAGCTCTCAAGTGAGGCAACCTCACATGGCAGCGCTCTTCTATGCAGAACTGTTGGTGACTGATCCCCGACTGATTATGATTTCTTTTCACGTCGATTATCCTTCTGTAGAAGTCGGTATTAGAATAGCTAGCACACAGCGAAATAATACTTTCTAGCTAATGTCTCATTTGAGAGGTGCTCCAATGAAGAAGATTCAACTCGATACGACAACGAAGACTCCACGCCGAATGCCTGCGGACATCGACTTAGATAATCGGCTCTGAGGAAGACAATGGCATCGAAATATTAACGAAATAAAACCTCTGTAACAACCTCTTTAAGCTCAATGATTCAAAGACATACAGATAATAGAGGTGATTTATTTAGGTACAAACTATCGCACATTCTGTGGATGTTATGAGATTGGAACAGTGGTGTAGAAGGTGCCAAGAAGATGAACACCAAATTTAATTGACAACCGAACCACCTAACAAACTAAAATTTTATACATCCTAATCAAACAAACGGGAAATAATGGCATGGAATTTTTTGAATTCAACCTTAATGGCTAAGCCTACAAGTGAAGGCAAAGATAAACCTAAGAAACATGATGATCCTTGTCGCATACATTAGTATTGACATTCATTAGTATTTTCGATAATTAAGACATTCTTAGGGAGCGGATAGCACAGTGACAGCAATGTCCGTCACCACGAGCATGGTGCTAGTTATATTCCTCTGCGGGACAACCAAGCGTCTCATCCCTCCGGGCTCAGGAAATTGGTACCTTGCTCTCTGCAGTCTAACTGCGAACACTCCAGCCCGGTTATCTCAGAAATCTAGAGAGAATTGCTCGACCAGCATTCTACTACATTTAAAATGAAATGGAAATCCTCAAGCAGCAACCGAAGCCACATGCAAAAACTTGGAAGACCTTCGTTGACAATGGATGCGAAGAAACGAACTGGAAGTGAGAAGTGCCGGAATCCGCACACTAGACGTGAAAACGGATCAAATAAAATTGGAAAAATAAGAGGCTCTTTACTAACTGTAGTTTTTAAGGTACTTCAACGACTTCACTATTTCTGAGTCTCTTTATGGGTGGTAACCTTAAGGGTTCTCAATTTTGGACATCTTTCATGCATGCGTTCATTTTACATAGCTGGTAGTGTAGTGCAAAAATTAATATCAACGGTATAAATTTTAAAGAATGTTAATATATATGTATATTATATATATATATACATATATATATATATATATATATATATATATATATATATAGAACAGATAAGGGCTGTATAATGTAAACTTCCTCGTTGCTGTACGTGTAGTGGAAACAATCGGTAGTGCATAAAGTAGAATCAGTCTTTGAAGATGTTTGTAGTAAGCAGTTGCTCACGTTTGAATTATGGAAGATGCTAATATGAGGCCGTGATTTTGTTGTATAGCGGCAACGAAGAAGAAGACGGCAGCCAGAAGAGCATAACTGGCGACGATCGCCTCTTTCAGTGCAAACGAGTATAACAACGGCTGACTAGCTACCGCCGGTGACATGCGCCTGAATAGCTAAAATACGTTGTGCGTCATTAGAAGAAATATTTTTGTAGCCTTTTTTGAAGATCGCTTCCATTTGAGTTCGGTATGAATAACACAATTTTTCTTGTACCTATAGGCTTGTGTGAATATTTTACCAACAGCTGTTTATCGTGATGGATGATGGTTAGGCTCCTCCGGCTTCTTCAGAGCCGTGATCATTTTAATTGGTTGCTCTCCATAGTTGTTTCTTACGATCTCGATCTTCGTTGTCGCAGTGAGACGAATCCAATCGAGTGGAACACCGCATGAAAGAGAAATTGTTAATAATAATTTGCTGTCAGTAATCGCAAAATTTGTGTAGTGTTCCACTCCATCGCACTCAACTCGATGCGACAATGAGGACCCAGATCGCAAGAAACCACTGTCGTGGGCTCTCCACTCGGATCGTTACGGCGCTGAAAAAAGTGAGCGCTCAAGTTATCCACAGTGAGGTGCTTCTGGCTGGAACCACGTGTAAGGCCGTGAATACAACTAAGGATTTTTGATTACTATGAATTAATGTAGCATTACTGCGACTGGTTAAGCCCAATCTCATTGTTGATAAAGGCCTTTTTTAGTAATAAAATGAAAAAGAAAAGACTGGTGAGTGAAGAGATTGCTCCACTGGACCTCTTGATGGGTTCCAACCCTGATAATATGTGAGAGAATTCCAACATTACACACTGATTCTCTAATTACAGGCACTTGTAACAGTACTGTTTTCGGCTCTCAATAATGGTAAGCACTCTTTTTTTTCTCTGCACATAAGAAAGCCAGTAGCTCTAGACTTTCTAAAAAGAACCATGTGGCAGTCTAAATAGCAAATAGAACACAAAATTAGCAAAGAAAAGAGATGGTAGAAACAGGTCAGCTGAAAACTCGTACCATTGCGTAACGTTCGTCAATGATCGCGATGTTGCATAGATAGAAAAACAGCACACTGTAGCCGCAATTAGGGCTATACCTAACGCCAAACACATTCCAACAACATCACTCTAAACATTTGAGGAATTTTAATAGATTGAAAAAAAAATACCTAGAAATAAAGAAGAACAATATTAATGATATGTAAAATATGGACATCACGGAAAACTTGTCACTACCTAAACGCACTATTTCTCGTTCGGTTTCCAGATTCATGTGCAAGACCATAAATAAAAGGTAAATAAAGGACAAAGCTATTGGCGTTCATCAATTCTTGAGGGCGTGCAATCGACTTCACTAAGCATCGTTTGTAGGTGATTGAATGCATATCTGGCCTTTACAATGACTCACGGTGGCGTACTGATTTATCAAGAAATGCTGCTATCCTTCTAGACAAGTCTGGTACCAATTTGCCGACCCCGGATGGATGTAAGGCTTGGTGGGCTATGGTTACGGAGTTCGATTCCACGTGTGTGTTGCAGAGCGCCTCCGACAACTACGCCACACATGCAAGACCATACGATCATATTTACTACAGTTTGTGATATGGTTGACATAAATCACTTATGTGTCGTTTTCTTGTTCAGCAATCGCGAGGTTTTTAAACAGCGAGACTCGAGTCGCAGAGTCGTCAACCACATGCGACTATAATCAACTGTTCTAAACTTCCTCATTGGAAGTCACGAAAAAAGCGGCTCTGAAGAAGGCGATACTGCCGAAACGTCAACTAACGTTATATTGTATAGTGTTTTTTATGGAAGTAAATGTATGCTGTTTAAAAACCTCACGATTGCTGAACAAGAAAACGACACATTCATGTTCCAATGCCGAGGTTAATAGAAAGTCGATCCTGGGAACTAAATCACTTATCTTTGTAGTCCATTGCAAAGTGATGAGAGGTGTTCTACATTATACACATGCTTATTGGTTCGATCACTTGCTCGTGTATGTATAGCCTTCCGCCCTTCAGAGATCGGTAAATTAGTACCAGACGTAGAAACGCCGACTTGATAAATCCATGCGCTCCAGTTAGTTATTGTTAGATCAGATACGTATTCAGTCAGCCCCACACAGTTGATGAAGTCGAATTCTTGGCGCATCCATCAGGAATTGGTCTACGCCAAATGCTCCATTCCCTTTACTCCAATTTTAAATGTAATAGATTTAGCTAGGATCAACCTTTAATTGACGTGGGTACGGTAGCAGTTGAGAAGCAGCAATACACAATGTGATTGATGGAAGAACGATGGCACCGAATGACGCGGCACATAGTAAGACGACATAGATCAGATACGACGACCTGAAATCGGAAAACTTTAGGAAGCGTTATCTGATTGCTTTATAACTCAGCTATCTCCTCCAATGTTAGTTTGACTCGAAAATATAATCAATAAATCGATGCTTAATAGCAGTACAAAGAAGAAAAACCTTAAAAATAGAGTGAGAATGGGGTTTTACGCAGTTTTAGTAATAGTGAATTATACCTCTTCTTTATATGTTATAGTCTACATCACAGAAAGGTTTTCATGATGACCTGTGCTCACATCTACTTTACGGATCCCAGAACTTCTTTTCGATCCATTTTCTTGATCCGTCATTCGCCAAAGTCTTCGAACTTTTTGAGTGTAGTTTCGGCTGATGCTAGAGGATTTTGGAGTTCTTCATGAATATCGTCGAATGCTGGTTGAGGTGTTTCTGCACGGTCTCCTAGGAATGCTTCCCAGATCGTCACCATAAGCAGTCGCCAACCTTTGCGTAACGGAGCGAGCTCTTCTTACTTCACTTTGGCAACAAATTGTCGACCCGCAAGGGAAGTTGTTTAGAAAATGTATAGTGCTAACCGACCTACTTAAGACCGGTTTAGGTTTTCACAGTATTGTTGTCATTCGAATCCAGGCCATGTAGACTAATACTGGCCACGATAATTCCATGGACTTCAGTGTACTTTTGTTCTGCTTAATACTTTTTTTTTGGTTAAGAACGTTTAGCAGATTTTGAAAAGATCAAAAAGGCGGTGAAGTCAGATATCAGCTAAAAACAAAAACTATGAAGAATGCATAGAAATTCTTTTTCTTTAGTTTATGTCATATTTTATGCTCCATAATATGACGACTGGGTGGTACTTGCCAAGATCTTCTAAGCTGATGAGCCCGGCTTTTCCATCAGGAAGCCTACCAAAGAGTAAACCAATACCAGCATCCACCACCGTCCTGGTATCAAAGTCGCATGATGGCATACCTCCCTCTGATCCACGAGAGCTGCAAATGCCTGCGGTGGTGAAGACGTGGAGCAAACTTTGGCCAAGCTGACTTCGGGATTCCTAGGTACCACAATGGCCTAACCAGCAAATCTCCGAAAAACAGTGATTATGCTGGGGCCCGCATAACCAGTGAGGACGGGCCGTTCAAGTATCAAGTAAGTAGGGTAAGTTATTGATAAAGGAAGAACGGTTTTAAAAGAGATTTTTCTTAAGTTCCTCTGAAGTTTCCTATACGACATTCGAACGAACCAAGTCATATCACCATTGTTAGCGAATTGAATGCAACTGATCGATTTTAGGAACAATCGTATGAGAGTGATAGGCTGATAAAGTACCAAATTGTCAGGTTTTCCTCTAAGTTTGCATTTGTGCCGGTGAATATATCGTAGAGAAATCCATAACGCGATTATTCTACGCAACTATACAGACGACCGTCAAGTGAAACTGGTTACGAACGCCTATCAACAAGTGCATTTCCAGAGGTAAGCGCTAATTTCGATCGATTTCCATGCATAACGCATATAAATGATTCTCGTGATCATAATAAATCAGCATAGTGTTTTTCTTTCTCCTAGGAACGAAAAAAGAAAAAAAGGCGAAGCTAAAGACATTGTTGAAGCATTGGATTTTAGGAATGAATTGATTGAGGTCCTTCTTGTAATCCGAAACGATTAAAACACCCTACGACTACAGATTTAAATCTAAACAGGTGATGATCTTAGTGGCAGTTGTTCTGGAAAACTTGCACCACAATTCATCGTAACCTAATTCTTTGCGGCTTTCTTTACTCATGTTTTCTTTCATTATTTAATTTGAAAGTCCATGTGGTGTCGCTGTTAGAGGTGCCCTGCAATGCACATCGATCGGTCTCCGGTCCGGTACTACGCTCCAGGTTGGCCAAGCTATCCATTTCTCTGGGTTCGATTTCAGTTATTACCAGACTTGCTAGAGAAGATAAAAACACTATGCTAATTCATGGCTAAGTCCACTCTATAAGTTAATTACGCATTCAATCACCTTTGCGATACCACGAATGGTGCCAAATGGTCTATCCTTAAGGGATTGATCAACGCCACAAAGCTTTACCTCTTTAAACCTTACGTTATTTCTAAAGTTCGTTTATTACTCTCATTGATTGCATCGGATTTATTCAAGAAGTTATGTGGTGAGATACTGCTTGTTTAAAAATAGACTAAGGAAACACCAGAATTGGAACAAAATCATGGTGAGATTCAGAAGGGCTAAGAAGCTAAAAAAACGTTTTACATCAGAGAAACATAGATGAGTCAATCATTAATAAATCACTTTTACATTTTTGAATCAAAACTGATGACATTTCCTACATAAAGTCCGGGAATTTATCGTTTATAAAATATAAAAAAACACTCTTTCATGGATCTCGGGCGGCAGATTCAACGTCAGGCCTCGCTTCATACTTCTTCCCAGTTCTGGGCTTGCAAGAATATACTGTCTTTAAGACAAGCGTTAGTCTATATCACAGATGACATTTCGTTCTCCTTTTCTAGTTTTCCCGAATGGAATGATTCATTTGGAGTCGATCAGCTCCAATGGAATTCATTGAAGAAAGTAACAGACGTCGGATATGCTGAGCTATGCACTATCTACGATCATAGACCATTGTAGTATCTTGCTATTTGTCTAAAAGGTGAGGGATAAATGTTCGCCGTCGGTCAACCTTGTAAGAATGTGTCATGCGTTCGACTTCATCCGTTGAGTCGATAGAAGTGATTGAATATATATCCTGTATATCCAACCACTCGCAGTGGCCTGGCCATATATCGAGTCAGTGCTGCTGTCCTCTCAGAAACGTCTTTTATCGAATTGGCGTTTTAGGTTGGTTAGCAGGAGTGAACCACCAAGTGCACTGTGGTGCACCCCTCACTACTACATTATACGTGTCGTTGTTTTATTAACTACATTAAATGTTCATATTTCAAGGCGATGAGAAGAAATTTCTAAATAGTCGGGAATTTGGACTTCACCTATGATGTAATTCCAGTAAAAATACTTACATATGGTACCATTCATGTGTCTGTATGAACGTGTGATTGATTTCTATGGCTACGGCATGAACACTTGGTAACCATTGCAAAACGGCCAAAGCACAAAAAGCGATATGAATAAACTGAAATCAACAGACAAAGTGGATAGAGTGCTTGTTCCCTAAAATCGCACTGGGCTTTCGGCATTACTGCTAGTTGCCTCTAACACTCTGACGCGAGGATAAGCCATATACAACTAACGCGTTTCGAGGCAGATCGGCCGATATGAGTCATTTTCGTTGGCCGTCTGTTTTTTTTTTTCGCATAGAGATTCAACAGAAAATTATGCTTTGTTCTCTCTCAGTACACACAAAATTAGATGTGCGCACAAATGGGTCAGTTTCAGGTGATTGTCTCATAATCGCTGGTAATAAAAGTAAACATTTACTTAGTTCACATATACATAATGATTAGATAAAGTTTTGTATTATTAGTCTAATAGTGCAGAGTCCATTCTTGTTTATCGATTTGAAGTCAACGGATGAACTCATTCAAAGAAGGAAGATTTTTTTGGTAGCTAGTAAGCGCAGAATAGAGCTTCTTTCGTTCATCCCAGGCCACAATATTCATGTTGGATATGCAATCGAATGATTACAATAAATATAGTAGAAAACTTCTATGCTGCAAAATAAACAGTCGAAAAAAAAATGAGTCGTATATGACTCAAGTCGACAAGCTTGCTCCGAATCAAGTGAATCATATATGACTTATCTCATCTCCAATGTATAAAATAAACAAAACTGAAACCCTACCTGATAGTAGCTTCGGTTTCTTTTGACGAGCGGCCAAAAACCGGCAGCTGCAGCAATACATTGAAACACAGCTGGAATGAGGACTGAAACTGCAGATCGAATTCTAAGCGTCTTTGAACCTTAAAGATTCTATTTCTTAATCATATAATTTTTTCCTTAGCAAATAATTGTTGAAACTTCATGTTTTAGATTACGATTCAGATATCCATAATATAAGGAAACTTAAGCCGATGAATCAAATGACACTACGTGGCGCGAAAACCCCAGACTGAACAAATTATGTAGACACGGAAAGGAAATGATGATGGATTTGTGGTGAGACGGAGGTGGATTAAAGGAATGAATTCCCTGAATGGTAATGCCGAACTGATTTATACGTGCCCTATGCGCGTTGCCATTCTCATTCATGGAGACGTGCATGGATGTGCTTGAGGACTTAGGAAACGTACTCAGGAACAACGACCGTTGAATATTCGCGACGTATTTCTGGTTTGTTTCGGCCAAAAAGTACTATATCCGGTTTTCAAGAAATCAGTGACTTACTCATGGATGACAATTCCAATAAAGCGTTTCATATGGAAAGTGTGATGTTTTTTAAGTCTTGTGAGCGAACCAGATTCTACCGAACTTCTCTAAAGCAATCGGGACGAGTGGAAATGTTGTTTGCGTTAGTTCAAGTCGCTCGACGGCTAGTGAGATTTTAGCTAGTGATACATGTGACGTTTCCCAATTTCAAGCGTATCGAGGTCATTGACAGAAATTTCCCGCTCCTTGAACAGTATTGATGAAAAGTAATGGCATCAAGGAAACCAAAGAAGTACTTCCAAGGACTGCCTAAAATGCCCAAAAAACTGGCGCTTTAACTATTTGTGACAATACGCATTGACTCCAGTACGTATTGACACGGATGTATTAATGCGAAGGTAAATGAAAATAAAAATACTGGTCTTACTTCCTTCATCCAACGGACTGAATCCTTCCGGTTTGTCAAAATCAACAAGTGAATTTGTTGAAAGTGGCTCCTGCAATCAGAATTTACCGTAGTTATTTTTGTTATGCACTTCCTTTCGCGCACGCAGAACCCTCAAGCTTATGTTTCATTGACAACATATAAAACTAGATGAATGTTTAATAATTGATCATGAAGGCGTTGACTTTTAAATTCGCCTCAAATTAACGAAAATTTAGTGGTAATGGTAACTTTTTATTTCCTGCCTACCAAAATTTTTCACATCGGGGTATGATGCGAAATACAACCACAATCATGCTGAGATATTTGCAGAACTCCGTACCGCAGGTGTCCACTGTAGTGAGCGAACGAACTATTGCCCTTCCCGGGAGTTAATGCTCTTACCAGCACACCACGAGTCTCTCGTCTGGCCTGCCTTTCAGCTAGTTTTATCGATCAGCGCCATCAGTAATCACTCATCAACAGGATTGATCTGGTGAGCCCAAATGGGCATTGAACCCCATTAAGCTGAGGCTGTAGTTGGAAACGCAATGGCAACATTTTATTTGCTGCCTATTTAGTTTAGATTTAGCGGTAATGCTAATTCAATCTCAATTTCTTAAAATTTCCTCGTCATCTAAATCATTTTTACACTTAGCAATGACTTCAAATCAGGCTTAGTAAAAATGAGAATGAACTTCAGGTCTGCGACCCCTAATTAAGGTGAGTAGGGCTTTAACTTAAAAAAGACTTTTCGGAATAAGAATAAACGAGTAAAATACCCGAAATGATCGTTGTAGGCGTAGAACAGAAAGCAGGAGAAGACCAACTGATATTGTTAACTGAATCAACGGCAGCAAGCAGTACGCGATTAGAGATGGTGTGAAACGAAATCCGCTTAAACTACGAAAAGATTTTTTCTCTGAGATACAAATAAAAATTTTATACGGTGTTGTTTGAGGATTTCCTAATTGTCTTGAAGATTTTGAGAAGCTATTGATAGTTTCGCAGTAATGTGTTTGTGTGACGGCTACTTGGAAGCAGTTCGTCACTTCTGAATGATTTTGGAACGAAAGAAAGTCCATCTGAATTCCGCATTGTACATTTTCTCTCCTCTTTCTAGAATTTCCGCAACAGATATGGAGTTTTTTTTGTCATACAGCCACCTACCACTCAACTAATTCAGTTGGTTTCATGATTGGATTAGCGCTGGACGCTGGTGATACTGGCGCATCCGTCTCATCTAAGAAACGAAACTCATCGTAGATCTGGAAGAAAACCGCTGAAAAGTAGTCTGGCATTTTAAAACCTATGCTTGATCCAACGATTGCGTTTCATGAATAAGTGTGGGTCCTTGGCAAATGGTTTTTCTTCCAGTGATCAACTAATGGGAAATGAATTGAGAACATTTTAGATGAGAATGTGGAAATTCCTGGATCCACCACCCCAAATTTTAGAATAGGCAAGAAAGAGAAGGCGTAATGTGTTCGGCGTTGGTCACTCCTTGCGGGATACGCCATGCATGGGAACCTCATTCTAGCATCGTAGAAGTAGTTGAATGCATATCTGGCATATAAATTGGCATGTGGTGGACCGCCGATGTATGAATTTAGTGTTTTTCTTCCCGGGGAAGCAAAGTATCAATCCACACAGTTCGGAAAGATAGAGGATTGCTGAGGATTCAGTCTTTGAACTTACCCAAGCTAGGTTTTGGATTTACAAAGAAGTATTTTATAGCAAGTACATAAAAGTGCAATATTTCGAAAATTCGAAGGAAGAATAACAGTTTTTGTAAACATAATAAAGTATAAATCATGAAATATGTGCCTATTTTTCGGGTGAAAAGACCAAATTAACTCAATTTTTTCCCGTTACCTGTATGATCGAAATTTGAAGAAAAATTCCATGAACTGTAGTTGGCCCGGAAGTTCATCAGATCCTATTTATCGAGGCAATGTTAGTGGGGGAAACGAGGACCCGTATGCATTGAATTCAGTGCACAACACACGAGGAACAAATTTTTGAGTGGTCGCGTATGTGTTGAACTTACGCAGGTGCGATAACTTACGAACTGGTATCGAAACTTTTGTGAATAAAACGTTGTAGTTCCTTACCGTTTCGATCGCATTCTCTCTGAATGTGTCAAGTCGGGAAACACCTTGTTTGTGACGCTAAAAAAAATGAAAAAATTAGAACAGTCGAATTTCCTAGTGAGTGGGTTTCCAGTTTATTTTAAAGGACAGCACAAATTTTTTAAAACAAGTATTCTAAATGCATATCAATAGAGCTTTTTGGTGCGCAGTGGGCAATCCTCGGCGTCGATCAATGAATTATGGATGCGCCATACATTCGACTTCATTAAACATCGTTTGGAGCTGATTGAATGCATATCTGGCCTTTATAATGACTCGTGGTGGCCTACCTATGTATCGAGGCACTGCTGCTATCCTACCAGACAAGTCTGGTACCAATTCGCACACCCCGGAGGATGGAAAGCTTGATGGGTCAGGGACACGGGAATCGATCCATGTGTATCGCAGGGCACCTCCGACCACTGCGCTACACGCGCCCTTCATATATATTTATATGTATATATATATATATTGCACGAGTCCAAAAAAAGGACTAAGACTGACTACGGTGGAAGAGATATCCTTGTATTGATCGACTTGATCTACGGCGTATTTGGCTCTGACTCGAGGGATCGGTTTCGTGTAAACACAGACACCGCCACCACTGCTGCGCATCAGATGCTCACCAGGGCGACGTTGATAGCGCATCTGAAGGCACGATTGCATCAACGCTAACAAAGCAGCTCATCAGAAAAGTTTCGTAAACTGACTATGTGGGTATGTCGTTCTTGATTTATTATTATTATTAAAATATTTCCTGTTTCGTTTGCCGATTTGTTCGGTTTCGTACATTTATTTACTCGTTCAAATAAAAATAAAATATGTCAAACAATGACGCAATTAAATAATAAAAATAAATAATATTTGAGGGGGAAGGGAGAGGAGAAGTTGTGCATTGGTTAGTTATGTGGTCCACAAGGAAGGAAGATCCTAGTTCGATCCCCTCACCAACCCTTTCCCCCAATCCACTGGGAACGCCTTAGCCAGGCTATTCAGAAGATTACAAAGGGAATCGTCTCGTCCAGCACTCAACGCCATTCATAGAGAAGACGAATTCCTCAATCAGCAACAGAAACAACACGCGAAATGTTCTAATACCATTGTGGACGACGAGTGCGAGGAAAACCGAATCGAATAGAATAAGTGTCGGGATCTGCTCTGTAAATATGGTGACGGGTGATTTAAAATGAAATAATAGATGATGTACTGAACATGTAAGTAATATTATTCTTTATTATTGTATAACAATGTTATGTAGAAAACTCTATCGTTCGACAAATTTCTATTTCTATTCGCTCAGAAAGCTCTAGCCTGATCATCTCTAACCTTTAAAAAACTTGCCATTTCCACAGAAAGTTGAATTGAGGAGACCGAGCTGGACAGAGCTCACGTAAGTGGCTCATTCATGAATCCACGAAGTAGCTTGCAACCATGGACAGATATAGCGCAGAAAACAAGTCAAATGCAATAAGGGCTATATATATCGACGCACCGTCCTCTTACGAAGGACCTGAAGCCGGTTTGTATTACGAGAACTACGTGGTGCCGACAACCGGCAGAGCGCAGACACCACATCGTCTCTGTCTGCTCCGAGACGCAGGTGGGGATTCAGGAGATGACGACCCACTCTCTGCTGCTTTACAGGAATATATTGTACACTACATATAAAATCTCGTTAATGGTGAAAAGACCTCAGTAGAGCACCAGTAAAACCTTCAATCGTCCAAGTTCTACCGCAAAGCTGTTCAGTGGGCTCTGTTGGCATGAATGACAGGAAAGACAATCTTTTCTAACTAAAAGGTAGCGGCCGCGGATAGATTGTCCAATTTCTTCGGGTATCCTTTGGATTCTATAGTATAGTACATGGCTGCATGGTGCAGCCACTGAATGGCTTATTATGTTGTTCCAAGAAACTTAGATCGAAAAGTTTTGACTGAATTAACAATGTGCAGAATATGTATTTATACAGCAATAAAAGTCATTTAGGCTTAACGCAGTCAAGAATCCATTTTTCCAAGTCCACCCACACCTCTAGTTAAGGGAATGGTCGATTCTTACCCACGAAGTTTGCATAATCGTTGTCACCCTGGAGTTCTGCATTTGTTTCTCAACTATTTGTACTTCTACGACTAACCGTTTCACGATTCCTTGCATGAAGGACATTCGTGAAGATAATATGTATAAATACAATAAGCAAATAAATGAAAACAGGACTGAAAGCGAAGCTTTGTTCTGACCCACACATTTGAGCGGAACGTACATTACTTACTTGGTACTTGAATGACCCATCCTCACTGGTTGTGCGGGTCCCAGCATAGTCTCCATTTTTCGGAGATTTGCTGGTTAGGCCATTGTGGTACCTAGGAATCCCGAGGTCAGCTTGGCCAAAGTTTGCTCCACGTCTTCACCACCGCAGGCATTTGCAGCTCTTGTGGATCAGAAGGAGATTTGCCACCATGCAATTTTGGTACCAGGATGGTAGTGGATCCTGTTAGTGGTTTACTCTTAGCTAAACTTCCTGATGAAAACGCCAGACTCCGAAACCCTGCTGTGGAACGAATCAACCCGTCTACATCCCTGCCCGACAGCCAGGAATATCTACCAGCCACGATGATGTGGTAAACCGTTGGGAGGGATACGTACGTGACTATTAATAATGCAAATTGTTAGACTGAAAATGTTCAGAGGAATAACAAATAATATTTTGCAACTCACATTGCCGCTATCGATGATGTTGACATCCGTGTAGCTCGTATGTGGTCCACAATACCCATTTTGTTCGTTTGGCATCTGTCACGATTAAATGATGTTTTCGGATTGTAGCTATCTTCTATTCATCGACGAATTTAAGCACGATAATAGTGATATACACATATATAAAAGGATAAAAGGATGGAGTTTTCGACGTTGAGGTTCGATGCATTCTCAGCAAAGTTTTTGAAGGGAGCGCAATGCATTCGACTTCATTAAGCATCGTTAGAGGTGAGTGAATGCCGATTTGGCCATTACAATGACTCGCGATGACCTAGCGATGTATCGAGCCAGTGTTGCTATCCTTCCAGATAAGTCTAGTACCAATTTGCCAACCCAGTGGGGTGGAACGCATGGTCAGTTGGAGATGCGGAATGGAACTAATGACTATGTGTGTATTGCAGAGACGAGGGACTTTAACGACTGCGCTACATGTCCCTCTACAAACATATATTCACGTATGTATATACATGTATATATGTAAACATATGTGTATACACATGTGCATACATATACATATATTCGTTGTAGATTAATACTAAGCGTTTAGCAAACGATGAATTGAGGTGAAGCGGCACTCATTCAAACACGACGTACTCAGTTCACACTCTATAACAAGACAACTAAGCCCGTTGACTTTTAGGAAATAAGTTGGTAGCAGATCGCTCCAAGATAGATAAAAGCTACCACTCTGGACATTCAAATTCTGTTTACTTAGTTAACAATTTTCTCAAGCATTTTAAAAAAGTATAACAGTGCTAAGTTCTTAGACAAGGCGCTGGCTTTTTTTTGAAGAATTAAACACTCTCATTAACTAAAAGGTACACGAAATGCTAAAAGTTCAACATTTAGCCTAACTTTAAGAGATCTAGTGTTAAGCGTTCGCTTGATAAATCAATTCATGATGTAGATTTCTGAATGTAAATATCGTATGAATAACGAAAAGCATAAAGAACCTTGTTATTTGTGATGTAAGCACAGTGATGCTCAGATTTTTGCAGAACTCCGGACCGCAGGTGTCCACTATGGGGAGCGAACGAACTATTACCCTTCCCAGGAGTTAATACTCTCACCAGCACACCACGAATCCCTCGTCTGGCCTGCCTTTCAGCTAGTTCTATCGATTAGTGCCATCAGCAATCACCCGTCAATGGGATTGATCTGGGGAGCACAAATCGGCATTGAACCCAGTTAAGCTGTGGCTGCAGTCGAAATCACTATGTTAACTTTTCTATTTACTGCCTATCAGAATTTTTCACTGCAGTAATATGTGTGATACAACCACATTGATACTGAGATATTTGCAAAACACCGGACCACAGGTGTTTACGGTGAGGAACAAACGCGCTATTGTATGATTGAATTTATCTCCTTTTATTTTATTTTATTTGACCTGTCTTCACGTCTACTGTGCGGATCCAAGCACTTCTCACATTCGATTCGTTTCCTCGCATCCATTATGCACGAGCAACTTCCAACATTACGTGTGGCTTCGGTTGTTGCTTGAGGATTTTCATTTCATCTTGAATGTCGTAGAATGCTGGTCGAGCAATTCTCTCTAGAGTGCTGAGATAGCATGGGTTGGAGGGCTCCCAACTGGATTTCAGAGAGTGATTTTTTTTCCAGACAAGTCTAGCGCCAATTTCCTGACCCCGAAGGGATGAGAGGCTTGGTGGAGCCGGTGCGGAGTCGAACTAGCACCACGGTCGTGATGAAGGGCATCACTACCAGTATGGTATCCGCCCTCCTATGATTGGATATATTACGTTAACACCTATCTGGTGCAAGTTAAGCTCAAGTGATGATTCCCTTCCACTGAAGTGTTCATTCCGGTTTAGCTTGAAAGTGTTCAAATTACGTGTTCAGCGGCGTCAATCTAATGTTTTTAATAAGATAATGCGCAGTTTTGGACAGATAGTGTGGAATAGTAGTGAAACGGTGAAAACATAAAGCGCTATTAATTGGAAAATAAAACGCTCATTTGAATTCTAATAATAAATGAAATACCAAATCAGCAACTGTGAAAGCTCAAAAACTGTTCAACGACATTTTTTGCAGGATAAATAAAGGGCCAAATAAATATGGAGAGTTCACTAAAGGAGAAAAACGCGAAGCGTTTGGTTTATCAATCCTTAAGACGTGCACCATGCGCTGAGCTCCATTCGTAGCTTGAATTCGCACCTGGCTGTATCTTTACTTACGGAGGGCTATCTATATATTGAGTTAGTGTCAGGAAAGTCTGTTATGAATTTCCCAAAATTACAGAGACGGAGACTTAGTTTTTCCGGGGCACTGGATCGAACCAAAGGTCATGCATATACTACAATGTACATATAACCAGTACACTACTCACAAGTTGAAAAACTCACGATGTTCCAAGAAAAATACGTTACTTATCTGTCGTGATGGACTCATGGTAAGCTATTGTGAATAACTTTGTCGACAACATTTTATTATATGTACTATTTTTTGGACAATATTTTTCTGAATTTGCAGTGTTGCTCAATCGATTTTCAGATTTGGAATTCGTCGTTAGCACATTCATTTCAATTTATGAGTTAATTTTATAAACTCGAGTAGTGCAAAGTAATGACGCGTCAATTGCACAAACACTAACGACGGTTCTATTCGGTCTTAAACAACACCTCGATCGGCCGACGTGAATTTGTTCAATTTACAACTGATCGTTTATGACAGATAGACCACTCACAGCTTAGTTATCTAGTAAATTATCATAGAAGCACTTATAGATTGAGATTAATAAAATTCACACTGGAAATCAACAAGATCTAGGAAGGCTATTAAACAAAGTGCATTGAGATGTAATGTGAAATAATAAGATGAGGCGACTGTAGACCAGTGGTTAGAAGTGTCCTGTAATTCACATGCTTTCTCAGCCTCACTCAACGAATCCTCCATCCCTGCTAGGTCAAAAAATTGGTAGCGAATTTGTCTTAAAGGATCGCGACGCTAAATTTATACATCAGTAGGCCATTAAAAGTCACTGTATAGCTAAGGTGTGTGTTTGAATCACCTCCAACGATGTCCGACGAAGTTTTATGGCGCTTTTCTCAGGGGTTGATCAACGCCGGTAGCTATATCCATTTCTCCTTTTATGTTTGGCACTTTGACATCATGAAAAACCTTTCAGACTTCATAGCTTTTTGGGTAATTCAATTCGTGGGAAATTGAAAAGTGAGGATTAGATTTTCCACTTACCACAGTAAAGAGTTGTTCTTAGGTGTTTAAATGTAATGTATAATAAAAGGTTCATTGCCAGCCTAGTCATAAGGCAGAAAGCTTTCCTCTCATCCACCAGCGAGCGCTGGTGGTGACTACATGGGAATCGAGCCTGGCACGGCTTTCCCACAGAACTCCAGAGAATAACTTTACACAAACAGCGACATAACTGCGGAATACTGAACGATCTGAACGATTCCCCACAAAGCTTAACATACCATTCGAAATTTTCACTGTGCACATAATGGACAAATTAGAATTAGGATGGACTGACAACAAACTACCCTCCTTTCGAGTAAATTATTTGCTTGAATTTGCAGGCTTCGCTTATCTTTAACGCATTAAACTATTCCCCACTTATCCTGCAGCTCACCACTTGTAATTTGACTAAAGTTTGACAAAAATTCAAGGAAAAGATGAGATTGAAACGGAAAAATTTCTAATGGCGCGCATAATATTGTGGTAGAAATTCCTTTCGCAAGGCCCTAACTCCTCTCCATCACCAAGATCAACAAAGCTTTACATCCTTTACAAGGCACTAAATTGATACCAAACTTGTCTTCAAAACCCCATTGTATCCACAAAAGCTTGCAACCTTCTGTGATGAAGACCTGGGAATACCTTAGCAGAGCCATCCCATGATTCTGTGGAAAAATTGCTCAGCTACAACTTAACGAAATTCACAAAGACCAAATCTTCACACACAGCATAACCCACGTACAAATCCAAACATATTCATTGATGAAGGGTGTAGGTAAACGAAGAGAAGTACCAAGATCTTCATAATATGTGACATTCAGCCAATTAAAAAAGCCGTTTGACTTCAAGCCCTGGAGAAAAAAATCATTCCGCAAGCCGGAAGTGGAAAGGGGATAAAACACATATTGTAAGCATCTTACATGTTTCTCTAGTAATTTACTCTTCACTATGAGATTCAGTTCGATATGTTATCGACTGACCTAAAAGCGATCCAGACCGCACACACGAAACTTCTTTTTGAGTAACAGCGAAATCAGGCCATGGGAATCATTAGCTCACCCACTTGCCTGAAGATCCTGCTTAAAAAGAAGTTTTTATGGGAATTTTCACAAACGATAAGAAATAAGGCGTTTGGCATCAATCAATCTCTAAAGGAAGAACTATGTGTTTTTCTCCATTCGTAACAGAGCTGTTTGAATGCTACCTGGTTTTTATAAGAACCTGCATAGATTTAGTGCTTCTATAGCCACCGTTTCTATCTTCTCAGGCAAGTTCAATAATAAGCGAAACTGATATCGAAGATATGAGGAACTTTGTTTTTCCGGGGTGCAGGGCGAACTGAAGATCACGTGCGTATTGAAGGACACTTGTAACCATTACGCTACGCGAACCGGCGTGTCACATTTCACACGAACTCCAACCTTCGTTGGTGTTGTTGAATTTCAACGATATGAAAATTACTCAGTTTGGCAGGGAATGAGAATTTTTGAGGAAGTGAAAGACCTTCAGGCTGTTGACGGTGAAAATGAACAAGAATATCAAAGAAATTGTAACTGCTCTAGAGACGCCTGTGTGCTTCCATAAAGAGGTCGAACTTGCAGGAATCAAAAGGAAAACGTGCACGACAATTGTAAAATGTGTGAAACTTTGAAGTAGACTGAATGAATGAATGAGTGGAAAAAGCGCGGTGGCCCGCGACGAGCGCCGCATATGACAAACATGGAATTCGTGAGGTGGGCGAAGGGCGCCGCCGAATAGGAGGATCAAGGCAGGGTCTGTGGACCGGACACATTTGCATAAACGCTCAGCCAGCCACCGAA